TAGACTTCATTTATAGCGCACTAACCAGCTGTGGACACTGATGACTGCCTGAGGTAAATGAAATGCTACGTGAAGTTTTGTTTACAAGCTGTTTTATTGACATCTTTCTGCGGTTGAAACGCTGATTGAGCGACTACATGAGGCATTAGATGTTCATTCATGTTTATTTCGCGTTAAAACTAGTAGTAAAGAGGAAGAGATGATCGCGCTGCCGTTTGAACTGAGGCGTTTATACAGCGATCTGTCGCACCACATCAAATTTCTTGGAAAAAATTGACATAATTTGAAAGATGAGACTTTCTTATCAAAAGTAACAATATATAAAACTGGATGTGTACCGATCGAAAGACCCTTACCGAAAATCACTGATACAAATACGTGTACCGTTACACCCCTATATATATAAACTCTTTTAGCATGTTTAGAAATAAAATAAAATAATATTACATTGAGTATTCATTTATTATTCTACTTTTTTATTTTTATTAAAAAAAATTATGTTTGGGTTTTTGTTAATTGACTCAACTAAAAATAATAGAAGTCTATGGTACACTACCATTCAAAGTTTGGGGATGGTGAGATTTCTTTCTCTTTTTTTTTTAAAGAAATTAATACTTTTATTCAGCAAGGACGCACTAAATTGATCAAAATTGAAAGTAAAGGTATTTATAATGTTACAAAAGATTTACAAAAGGCATCAAATAAATGCCATTCTTTTGAACTTACTATTCATCAATTCATGAAAAATGTATTATGTTCCTGCAAAAATATGAAACAGCACAACTGTTTTCAACATGGATAATAAACAGAAATGTTTCTTGAGCAGCAAATCATCATATTAGAATGATTTCTGAAGATCATGTGACACTGAAGACTGGGGTAATGATGCTGAAAATGTAGCTTTGATCACAGAAATACATTACATTTTAAAATATATTCACATAGAGCAATTAATTTTAAATTGTAATAATATTTCACAATATTACAGTTTTTACTGTATTTATAATCAAATAAATGCAGCCTTGGTGAGCAGAAGAGACTTCTTTCAAAAACATTATAAAATCCTACAGGCCCCAGAGTTTTGAACAGTAGTGTACAGTATGTCCTCATTTAGATGAAGTTAGTGTGTGTGTGTGTGTGTGTGTGTGTGTGTGTGTGTGTGT